GAAGCCCTGGGAACTGTCGGCAGGGCCTGCGCTGGCTACCGGGGTGAGAGGGGTCTGCACCGGGAGCTCCAGCCTGCCAGCACCCTGGGGGGAGAAAGCCACAGCAAACATCCGTCTGGCCATCCAGCCTTTCATCCATCCCTCCTTCCCACCCTCCATCTCTCCCTCCACCCCTCCTTCCACCCTTCCATCCCTCCATCTCTCCCTCCATCCCTCCATCTCTCCATTCATCCCTCCATTTCTCCATCTCTCCCTCCCTCCTTCCATCCCTCCATCCCTCCATTCATCCCTCAGCTCCTCCCTCCCTCCATCTCTCCATTCATGCCTCCACCACTCCTTCCCCGCTCCTTCCCTCCATCCCTCCATCTCTCCCTCCATCCCTCCCTCCATCCCTCCACCTCTCCCTCCATCCCTCCATTCATCCCTCCCTCCATCCCTGCCTCCCTCCCTCCCTTCATCCCCCCATCCTTCCACCCCTGTGCGCCTCTTCTGTTGCTGCCACATATCTCCATGGACTAAATCATATTGACTGTGTTTATTATAAGAACTAAGTGATCAGCTGTGAACTTTCTTTGACATAAATATTTTGCCATTAGCAATGACAAATAGCAACGCTCATGTTGTAAAAGCAACATTGGATTATTTCTCTCCATGGAGGCATTTATGTTGAGAGAAATCAGAAGGAAATCGTGATCTTCAGGATAAAGAGGAACAGGCAAAAGCAGGCATGTGTTGGCAACGATATTTATCCCACTGTGTAAGAAGAGTTAAGAATTAAGGAAGTGTTTTTAAAAATGAAAAGAATTGATTTTTCCACACAGCTGCAGCATGCCTCTGCATAGCTAGCTCTGGATGCCGCTGCAGTCAGAGCGCACTCATCAGGCACGGCGTGCTTCACTCAGTAGCGTATGCAAGTGCTTTGCACAGGTACCAGCCAAAGCTGCACCCGCATGTTGTGCATATTACACCATGGTGGCATTTCTTGGGTGGATCAGGCCCAGCGCTTTTCTGAATCCCATTATTACCAGACCTCTGCAGTTACAGCTGAACAACATAGGGATTTTCCATTCTTGCAAGATTTCCTACATTTTTGACTGGTGATGTTGGCACCTTAAACCATGTCTGCTTGCAGGCTGAGCAGGGTGGGTAACAGGATGGGGGTGTCAGGTGGGTACCGGGGGATGCAGGGATGCTTTGGGATGGGGGTTTAGGGGGACATCGTCGTGGGGACAGGGTGACAGCTGCTGACTGCCCCCCCCATCCTCTGCTGCCAGCCCCCAAACTGTCCCTTGTCCTCCCTGGTGGCACCATGGGACCATTGGCACCCCCAAGTCAGCACACCAGCACCCCAAGATCCTGACACCCCAACAGCTTGGTGAGGCTTTCCTCCACTGCGAGGTGACACAGCCCGGGGACACACACACACACACACAGGGGCAGCCACCCCCCATCCCGGGGCCCAGGGGATGGAGGAAGGGGAAAGCCCCATCTGGGATGGGGCTGAGGGGGCTGAACCCCACAGAGGGGTCCCACAGGGTCCAGCATGGGGCCAGGGACCCCCTAGCAGCCCGGGAGGGGGGTGAGGGGCCGGGGCAAGCTGCTTCTGTGGGACAGGGGACGGGGGACAGGCAGAGGGGTCTGTGTGCGAGGACAGATGGGACTGGGGGCAGGCTGAGCCCTGTGGAAGGACTGGGGCAGGCTGGGGGAAACCGAGGCACAGGGTTGGGGCAGGATCCAGGCAGAGATCCCAACGATCTCACCCTGGTGGGGGGCCGAGTGTGCCATGGGGCACCGGGCCGAGGTGGTGGGGCAGCTCTGGCTCTCGGGCATCCGCCAGCGCTGGCGGGATGCGGCGGTGCTTGGGTGGCGAAGGCCGGAGCGTGGAAGTCCCTGCAGTGGGGATGCTCCTGCCAGAGGTCCTGCTCCACCACCAGCCGGGGTACGGGGGGGGCTCAGGCCCTATTTGCAGCACCCAGAGGGTCTCAGCACGCAGCAGGGTGGGAGCAGTGGGCACCGAGCGAGCGCCGTGCTGTGCTGGCATCTCCTCTGCTCTGAAAGCTGGGTGCTGATTTCACTCTGGCTACCAGGAAGAGGGAGGGAGGTGGCTTTGGAGTGGGGAGGACTCGCTCGAGCATCCATTTTTAATGAGCTAGATATCTATTTTTCCCCGAGCTGGCTTCCCCCACATCGATCCCTTTGCCATCCACCGGGCCTGCTCTCCTCCGGGTGCCAGCGGCTCCACGGCGGCGGGGAGTGGCGGGATGAGCATCCCCACTGTTGGGAACATCCCACCTCCCCAAATCCTGCTCCTGGGGACAGTGGGACCCTCGCTTGGGCCGTGGTGGCACACGCAGGAGGGCTGGAGGGGGCAAAAGCTCCCCTTGTCCTCTCCGGTGAGGTCACCTCCGTGTTGACCATCCTGTGGGGACGTGGCCGTGCTCCAGCCCGGAGAAGGGAGGCCGGAGAGGGAGCGCTTTGGGTTTGGGGGCTGGATCCTGCCTTCACACTTTGCGGATTTAAGCTCTGCCTGGCTCAGACCCCATGGCAAAGCCACATTGCCCTCCCTGTGCCTCAGTTTCCCCATCCATGAGCCAGGGCAGGTGTCCTCCTCGTCCCCACCTGTGGGTCGTGGCCCGTTTGCTCCTCACCGGGGTTTGTGCAGACGGAGCAGCTCTTAGGGGAAAGGGGATTCAGGCGGCGAGTGGGTGCCGATGGCGTGGGAGGGAGCGGGATGGGGCGCGCGGGCGAGCGGGGCTCCTTCAGCAGCATCCCACCCCCGCCAAACCTCTGCCTACCCGCCATGGGGACCAGCCATGTTTGCTGGGTGCTCGAGGGCCAGCGGTGCAGAGGAGGGGGCCGGGGCTGCAGGGGAGAGCGTTTGGGGAGGGGGCAGGTAGGCAGAGGCTGTTTCTCCGGGGTTTCTCCCCATTGGAGGTGTGACCCATGCCCAGTTCCTGGCCTGGGGAAGCGAGTGGCCATGGGAGCAGAATGAGGCCACTGCCTTTGCTTCCAGGATGCATCTAATGTTTTTTTTGCAGCCTGTGTTGGCATTTAGCACCCACAACCCGCTGCAGTGAGGAGTCCCATGGCTGAACACCACCTCCCCTCCCCGGCGTCCCACGAGCCTGGTGCCAGTGGCGCCTGTGCTGGGCCGGCATTCCCCCACCTCACCCTGACCCCGGCTCTCAGCCAGACCCCCAAGCCTGGCGGCAAAGGGACATCGATGCTTGCGTGGTTGTTGCCATTTCTGGAGGGATGAAAGGGTTTGAAGAAGAGGCTCAAGTCCCAGCGGTACCCAGGGAGGGCATCAGTGGGCAGGAGGGCTCAGGGTCAGCCATGGATCACCGTGTCTTGGCTCCTCTCTCCTCACAGGATCTTGCCTTTTGTTCAGCCCTTCCTGGGCCCAAGAGGGGCAAAAGAAAGGGCTGTAACGTGCTGGGTGCTGTCGGTTGGGCTCTGGCTGGGCTCGTTGCGGTGAGGGGCCAGGCCGGGCAGGAGCTGGCCCAAGAGGAACTGCTCCCTCTTCCCCTCACCTCGGTCGATGGGGAACTGGGCAAAGCTTGGCTGAAGGATGAGCCATCCTCCCATGGTGGTGAGTGCTGGGACCTCCAGAGGAGGCTGGAGGAGATGGGCCCAGGGCGGCATGTTGAGGTCCAGCTCTGCCCTGCTCTGTGCATCCTGAGTGGAGGAATCCCCCCCAGGGGACATGGGGCTGCCCGGGATAGAGTGGAAGGTCAGGGCTTGATGTCTTGGGAGATTCGGGTCTCAGCAGAGAAGAGAAATGCCGCTGTGGGAAGAGCTTGCGGCAGCTGGAGGGGACCCTGCTGCCTCTTGTGAGGAAGTTTTGTCTGGCCAGGCCTGGGGGGCTGGAGCTCTGCCTCCTCCCTACAACTGCCCCATGCTGAGGGCTTGGAGGGACAGGAGCTGTGTCTCCCAGTGCCCCTGGACATGAGTTGTTCTCTCAGCTAAGCAGAAAGCGGTGGGGACCTGAGCAGAGCTTGGCTTTGGCACCTCAGCCAGTGTTTCCCCAGCTCCCTGGGCATGGGGATGGCCCTGCATAGCCCAGCCCCAGTTCTCGCTGTTCAGAAAAGCTGTGGGACCCTGGGGGAGAACGGTGCTGGGAGGTCCCTATCATGAGCTGCCTGAGACCCAGAGATGGATTCGCCAGTCAGCCTGGCTCTGAGACCAGCAGCTGGCATGAATGGGACTCAAACCAGTTGTTTTCCCAGCCCCTCCTGAGCCTCTTTGTCCCCTGCAAGGTAGAATGAGCTCTTTGGCATCGTTGGGAGCCAAGAAGGAAGCAGGAGAGCTGTCCTCAGCCCTCTGGCCTCCCAGGGAGCTCCCAGAGTAATCTCAGGAAGAAGTTTCCGGGCTCCCATCACACAAAAGGCAGGTCTCTGGGGCCAGGCAGAATGGCGAGGGCCCCTTTCCCACCATGAATTCCTGGCTTGTGCAGCGAGGAAATAGGCAGCACTGAGTTTGGAGCTGTGCTCTGAGCCTCTCTCCCAGCGGACTTGTGTGAGTGCCGAGCCCGGGAGCGCAGATCAATGTGCACACACACACGCACGCACGTATACTGGCAGCTTCTACCCAAACACAACCGCTGCCCCTCCGTCTCCGGGGGAGCCAGCAGCTCTTCCAGGGCCTCCTGTGGCTCTTCTGCATTGCCAGGGTGACCCAAGCCCTCTGAGGGGACCCAGCCTTGGAAGCCAGTGGTCATACACCCCTCTGACTGCTCACAGCACGGGCAGCGGTCCGACCTGGTGGGCTCAGAGCAGGAGGCAGCTCACACACTACCGAGCGCTGCTGGGGAAGGCAATCCGTACAGAGGGATGTCTTTATGACTACCATGTGCTTCGGTCAGCAGGATCAGCTTCCCCCAAAGCCAGAGCCTGCCTGGCATTGCTGCTGGTTGGGGATGTCGCGTAGAGCTGAGGGAGTCCTGGGGAGCCGTTACCCTCAGGAGTGCTGGACAAAAGCCTTGGCTGCGTGCTCTGCTACAGCACTATGTCTCGGGTGTGTTTTCTCCGCCTGTAGAGCAACTTGATTTGCTGCATTAGTAAAAATAGATGGGCTAATGAATTCAGCTGATGCAACCCTCTGTGTGTGTGTGCGCGTGCATGCGCTTATCTCTGTTTGTGTGTGTATGGGTGCATGTATATGTGCAGTTGAATGCCAAGGCTTGTGTAAGGTGCACCCACCAGCTCCCGGAGCTCTGACAGGGTGGTTGTGTGTATGTCCATGCGTGCCTGGTGTGCATATATATGTGTGTGTGTGTGTGTGTATGTGTGCAGGAAGCCGTGAGCGATGGCTGCTTGCTGCCGAGCAGCTCTGTCACTGAAGCGGTGGCTCTACAGAGATAATTTTGCAGCAGCCTTGGATTCTGGCAGGGCAATAACAAGGCTTCACGGCAGGCTGGAGGGGCAGGAGAGGGGGCCGCAGAGACCCGGTGGGGCAACAGCAGATCCTCACAGGGATCTGACAGGGAAATAGTGCATCCTTCAGGGACCTGACAGGGAAACAACGGATCCTCACAGGAACCTGACAGGGAAATAGCGGATCCTCACAGGGACCTGGTGGGGCAATAGGGGACTTTCACAGGGACCTGATGGGGCAATAGGGGACTTTCACAGGGGGTCGCTGAGGCAGGGGGTCCCGCAGGGGACCGTTTGCAGAGTGCCCTTGCAGGGTGATGCGGCCCCGAGGAGGGTGCGGGCCGCTGTCCGCGGTGCTGAAGGGGGTCTCTGTCCACGGTGCTGAAGTGAGCCGCTGTCCGTGGTTCTGAAGGAGGGCCGCTGCCTGCCGTGCTAACCGGCCTGGCCGGCGAGCAGGGCGGAGGCCACGGTGGCTCCAAAGCTCTTGGCCAGTCCGGGGTCTCCAGTGGCCTCCGAGCCCGGCTGACCCAATGCCCTCGGTAGGCTCCAAGCCCAGCTGGTCCATAGGTCACTCTCAAGCCCAGACACAGAGGGATGACGTTCTGATCCAGCACGTCTCATCTGCCACAGCCTGGGGTCTCCCAACGAACACCCACGCAGGGGTGGCACTAACAGTGGCTGATCATCCTGCCTGTCTCTTGAGGCTCTCATCCCTCTTCACTACCACATGGAGATGGTAAACTCTCCAATGGCTTGGACAAGCTCTGTCTTCCTGGCAGCTTTTGTCCTATTCTTCTCAGCATCTTCATCGTCTCTGTAATGTTTGTAGTGACAGGCTCTTAGACCCCTTCTTTCTTCTCTCTTCCTGCGTCAAATCCGCCCCCCACCACTGCATCATCACTCATTGTGGATGACAAAACCCTCATGAATGGAGCGACTTCTCTGGCAATGACGTTTCCTGTGAAATGTGCACCCGGGAGTGAATTTGGGAGACTAAAAGACTTTGCCCTTTGCTTTTGTCAGGTTTCCTCCCACTGTGGATTGGGAGCTGGCACTCCACTGCTGGCAGATGCTTCCCCCGTGAGGTGTGGCCTGTGAAAGCAGAGGGGGGCTGCGAAACTGGGCCCTTCTTGTGGGATCCCAGAGGGAGGATGGTCGTTCCAAGCACTGAACTCTCCTTCTGACAGCCTTGTGGTTGGCCCAGTCATGCAATCTGTAAACAGCGAGATGACGGGGAGAGGAGGAAAGGCCAGACCTCTGCTGTCCTGCTGCTTTGCAGTGACCAAAAAGCATATGGAGGGTCTCGTGGAGCTGCTGGAACACCAGAGGGGTTCTGTACTGACATCTCCAAGGCAGACAGCTTTGTATCTCCCTACCCCTGCGCTGTATCAGTGGGTTGGAGGCAGGGCCTGGGGCAGGGCAGCGTGTGCGCTGGGCGTCCCAGCACACAGCAGCTCTGATCTCCACGAGGTGCAGTACTTGCACCTTGTACATTGGAGCGGTGTAGCCTCGGCCCTGAGCCCTGTGAGCTTGGGGGGCTGCTTGGCTGCAGGCATCATTGGAGGGTAGATCCCAGTGCTGTCCCAGTGTGCCAGAAGCAGAGGAGAAAGCAGCTACTGGACCCACTCCCCTCCTCAGTCTGTGTCCCCAGACCACCTTCCCCAGGCTGGGATCCTCCCCCCAGCACAGTCCTGCTCCTTTCAGGGTAGTAGGAACCTGCAAATCCGTGCCTGCCCGTTTCCCCAGAGACATGTGGCTATGTACAGCCAGCCTGCTTCCCTGGCTTCCCGCTGCCACTGCCCGGAGCCCGCCTGTGCCCAGAAGGTCTGAATCTTGTCCATCTTTCTATTTGAAGTGACTTCCCAGCTCATTCATGGTTTGGGATTTCTGTCAGCCAGACAAGCAGCCTCGGTGCCCGGGGCAGGGGGGACCTGGCTCAGCTTTCCAAGGCAGGACTGGGAAAGCTGCTGAATCCACTCAGCCCTCCCCACCCCGAGCCTGGCCTCAGGGACCAGCCCAGGTCAGAGCTGGTTGTAACTGTTGCCAACACCTCCCGCTGGCTGCATTTCAGTCCGGTGACTTGTCAGCGTCTGTCTTCTCCCGTGACTGTCCCCTTGGGCTCCCGAGGCCCTGGGCTGCCCCTCTGCCACCACCTGCCCTGTCCCCAGGGGCAACCAGCATGCCGAATGGCTCTGGCTGTGGGCTCCATGCTGGACCAACAGCCTTTCCGTGCCGCCTGGTAACTATCTGTTTGGATTTGTGCTGTATGGCTGTGTTAGACACCCTGTGCATGTTCTGTTTGCTTCCCTAATTGCTGCCTTGCCACTGGTTTTAAGTTTCTTCCTTCTTTCCCCTCCTCTTCTCCTGCTTTCAAGTGGATTTAACACATGTCCAAGCATCAGAGGCCCAGCTCCTCTGTCAGGCAGCGTGAGCAGAGGCAGCAGAGGCTGCCTCCAAGCAGGGAGCGGCGCCAGACTGTCTGCACAGGGCCGGGCTCGTCCCCAGAGGCCGGGCTCTTGCAGTGCTGCTGCCACCGGGCCAGACCGTCTGCAGGCACCTCCACGCCGCTGCTGCTTGCACCGTGGGAGAGGCTTCAGCAGCTCCCACCAGCCCCATCCCATGGTCCCACTGTGCCAAGGAGGGCATCCTCAGGAGACATCGTACACCGTGCACGCCGTGGGGCTTGCTGGCTGTGCTGCTGGCAACTGCCTGTGCTCCTGGGCTCTTCCACAGCACCTTTCAGGTGGCTGCTCCCCTCCCCGGAAGCTCCAGGAGGGCTGGATGAGGCCTGGGGATGCTGTGATGGTGAAAGCGATGGGCTGGGGGCATTGGGGATCTAGGCTGCGCCCCACTTGCCTGCCATCCCCCAGGACTGCATGGAGCATCCTCAGAGTCCACAGAGTTGGGCCATGAGCGTCTCTGGCTGGGGATGCTGCTCCTTCAGTGCCCCTCCATCAGGGCCTGGCCATCTCCGTCACAAATCAAGAATGCTAAAATAATACCCTTGCTTTTATCTTGGGTCTGGAGGGAGCTGGTGATGGAGAGGGTCCTCAGTTTCCACCAGCCACTGCTGTATGGATGTGCCAGCCATCCCTTGGGGTTGGGGATCACGTCCCTCTCCCCTGATCCCTGGGCTGGAAGCTGCTTTTGTGGGTTCCAGCTCCTCGCCGTATCCCTCGGGGCTACCAGGAGCCCAGCACCCTCCTCCACCCTCAGACTTGTCAGGGTTTGGCACAGTCCCGGTAAACAGAGTGCAGGCAGGATGGGCAG